TAGACAGTAAAATTTCGTGGTTCATCGTATCAAATGCTTTTGAATAATCTAAGAGAAAAAGAACAGTTTTTTTTGCTCCATGTGTCTCTCTAATAATATCGTCAACAATGTTAAGTAAGGCTGTAGCACAACTGTGTCCTGGTCTGAACCCTGATTGTTCAGAAGGCTATATAGTATATTTTTCAAGATGATGTCTTATTTGAAAGTTCATGATTTTTTTCAATTACCTTCGACATATATGGTAGTATACTAACAGGGCGGAGGTTATTGTAACTCATTACATCACTTTTCTTGGGCAATGCAATTATCCGTGACACTTTCCAGATATCAGGAAAAATACCTTCCAGTAAACAAAAATTGACAATATTAGTTAATACTGGTAGAATCGTTGGGCAGCAAAGTAGTATCATTTTTAAGTTTATTAAGTCTGGACCAGTAGCTAGTGATTTCACCTCTAGCAAGCATTTATGAATTTCTTCGACAGTAACTGATGAAAAATGAAAGAGTTCCCCAAAAATAGATTTTTTACTTTGAATATACTCATTGAGCAAATTTTGTCCATGTTCAGACTTATTCGATGATGACTGTATGAAGTGCTGATTTATTCTGTTAGGTTTGTCAAGACATTCTGGTATAGATACAGTTGTTTTGCTGTGTATATTGAAATTTTTTAATCTTTTCCTTTGAATATACTTATTGAGCAAATGTTGTTCAGGTTCAGACTTATTCGATGATGACTGTATGAAGTGCTGATTTATTCTGTTAGATTTGTCAAGACATTCTGGTATAGATACAGTTGTTTTGCTGTGTATATTGAAATTTTTTAATCTTTTCCACAGAATCTTACTATCATTTTTGTTTCTTGCACTGAATTCTAAATAGCATTTTTTTTTCGTTACGAACAGCTATATTTACACGATTTCTGAGTTGTTTGAAATAGTTCCAATGACCTTCGTGCTGCAATTTTTTGTATTTACGGTAAGCTTTTTCCCTTAGTTCAATCGTTTTTCTTTATAACATCTGTAATTCAAGGAGGTTTTTGATATTTGAAGGAAATTGTTTTCAAGGGTCTGTCAACCTTGACTGATACTGCCTTACCAAGGAACGAATCAGAATTTCAGCGTTCAGCATAATCCCACTCGGTCCAATCAACCTGAAAGATCACCTGCTAAATGAAGTAATCGATTCATTAAAAAGTTTGTCGAGTTTTAATGAGTGAGCCACAATAAACCCTTGCGGGGTCGAATAGACGCATTCACTTTGGACCGACCTACCTATACTTTCATTTATAAATTTTTTCAATAAGAAACATTCAAAAAGTAAAAATGTTTTGCCATGTGGTGATATGAATTATGTGGAACTAGCAAACAGTTTCATTACTATAAATCAATGGATGTACCCATTACTACGTGGTAGGAAATCATAATGAAGAAAAGAGAAATGAAACTTTCTATGTTTTTCACCACTTTTATTTGCAACTAACGTTACTGCAGTTTCATCCTATATCATCAAGTAGTGCCTAAATTCAGAATTTTCATATTCAATCAGTGAAGAAAAAATTATTCAGGCAAGTAAAAAATTCAAAAACAAACTGAGTAGCCGTACTGATAATTTTCCACCTGAGTTACTGAAAAAGTCTGCTTATTCACTTTCTACCGTACTCTGTCATATGTTTTATAATTGCATAGCGTCAGAAATATTTTCAAATCAAATGAAGCTGTTAATAGTGTTACAATAACCGTTCAATGGTTTCTAACACAGTGTGCTCACAGGACAAAAATATAGAAACAACATTGTTTGATTTCATAGACAAAATTAATTCTCTATTAGAACAAAAGTGCAGTGCTCGTCTTGTTTCCCTTGATCCAAGTGAAGTTTTTGACTCTGTGGCCATTCAGTTTTAGTACGAAAGATGAAGCCTTAGATCTCATGAAATCGTATCTTAGCAACAGAGAACAAAAATTTGTTTTAAACATCAAGCAGAAGAGTTTTTTCCTCTAGCACAGCTGAAATTCATAAAGGTGTTCCACAAGGAAGTGTGCTAGGTCCTTTGTTGTTTCCCATTTGTATAAACGATTTCCCTGAAATTTTTGACAACACTAACACCAAACTCGTTAGTTATGCTGATGATTCCAGTTTCGTTTCACCTCTTGACTGCCATATGAATTTGGAAATTGACTGATGTTTCTACAATTTCAACATATTCTAATGAAAATGGACTCCTTTTGGACAGTTCAGTTTTGAGATCAGTTGATGTCACCATCATTGTTCCGGAGTTCGTGAACATAGCCCCTGAAAAGTTATATTTTTCATCATATACAAAAATGTTAGTGGTCTATCTAGATGACAGATCAAACTTTGACAAGCACATTGCGATGAGAAGAACACATTGATAACACAGTTATGAGACTCAATGAGATACTTTATAAATTTTATCAAATCAGACATCTGAAGAATAAAAAGCTTTTACTTATGATTTACAACTCATTTGCAGAATTTTTATTGAAGTACGCTATCGTTATATGGGGTGGTCTCAGTAAAACATTATTACACGTTCTAGAGGTCATGCAAAATACCATATTGAAAATAATTTTTAAGAAAAACAGAAGGTACTCAACTGAAGACCTTCACGAAAAAACTGACTTATTTGATGAAAGAAAACTCTATACCTATCAACGCTCAATATGGAAGCAAAATACCTCCATCTCTCAGATAAGTCATACTTATGTGTATACTACACAATACTTATGTGTATACTACAACACACGTACTAAATATGTGCAGAAAACAAATGTTCCCCTGTATACACTAACACATAAACAGAAATTCATATCAAACTTTGGTCCAAAATTGTTAAACCTAGTCCCTATAGGAATCAGAGTCATTCCTAATGAACATAGAATGAAATCAAAACTGAAAAAATATGTGAACCCAAATTATAACAAACTTAAAACCGTATACGTACTCGAATAATGAAAAATTTAAAATACAATATATAACCATATTCTCCCTCCCACACAATGAATTTCACTTTGTTTTTTTCCCTTTTTCTACTCACCACTCGTAAATAATAAATGCAATCCAGTTTGATGATCACAAATGGTCTTAGTTCTTTTCTTTCTTTCTTTTTCTAGTTTCTCAAGTTATCTAGTTTTAATTTTGAAATCATATTGTATATTATCTATCTAATCTAATACGAGTATTTTTCAAATTAATACAAAAACTTGTATTTTTTCAATGCCTCAAAAATGGCCAGTGGAAAAACTAGTCCATTTATGAAAATTGAAGAACTGTAGATTTTATGTTGCCTTGAATCTCCTTCAAGTTCGAATTCATACGTCTAACAATTCCAATCATGTTCCTGGACAATCAATGGATTCTTTGTAGTCCACTAGATACTCATTAGGTCAACAAGAGGATTGTTCCGAATTCTTGGGGTTCTTTTTGAATACTCTTCGTGAGCAAAACAATAGCAAAATCAATACTCCTGACCGCTCTGGACTGAATGATTCCGTACAGTCCATCTCGTTTCGCGTTTGTAAATCTTTTGCTGGAAAAATCCTCACTTTTTACTTTGTAGTGAATTTCTGGAACTTCATCTAACGTTTCCTATTTTGACTAATAACCAGTCCGAGGAAAGGTTATTGTTAAATCATCTGAAAATGGAATTTTTAACAGCTGATGGTCGACTGTATTGCCAAACATACGCCAAACTAACTGACTGTTATAAGGAAAAAAGTATACCTGAGGCACCAGTCAATCTAGTAATAACACCGATAATCTTCAAACAAGACTCAACCTCTGACGAAAGCAAGAAACTCTTTCGAAGGTTCGAAATAGATGAACATTTCAATCTAGCAGACCACTATTATAATATTCATGCAGTCATTCTTCACTGTGGTTCTGGCGTTGAATTTGGTCATTCTTACGCCTTGGTCAAAGACGAAACTGACTGGTATGACGATAGTCGTGTCACGAAGTGTTCTGGCGATGTATTGAATCTATTGGAGCCTCTGGAGACACCCTAAATTTCATTTTATGAGAAAGAGGACATTGGCAGATCAAGATCTTCAAATGATGTCGTGCTGCAGGTTTTTTCGTGTTTTCTAAAAAAACATGAATTTTGAACGTTACTCACAAATTTATTGGTGGAATGGTCCACTCAAATTAAAAACACGAAACACAAATATCACACCGGAAATCTAAATTAATTGCAAGATTTTTTTAACTTGAAAAAATTCAAAAATATTACCAGTTCAGTCAACACCTACCCTTTGTCACAAAAAATTATCGATGTCATCAACCTTGCTTTCAGAAATAATTTCGAATTTGAAATAATAATAATAAAATACTACTTTGATTTTCCTGATATTAGCCAAATTCAACTATAGTTTTTGAATAGCTACAATTTACAAGCTACAATAACATTTATAATGCAAATAATAAAAATAATTTGTAATATAAGATACAAGTGAATCATTCGTTTCGTCAAATCAAAATAACATTGAATGCATTTTGATATGAAAAAATATCCTAAGCTTGATTTTCATCAATAACCTAATAATTTATTTCGTTACTAACATGAATGTTCCTGTTCTTTTAGTGAAACGAATGGTCGAACAAGTGTAAACAAATAATTACAAATGAGTCACTTGGAAATATTTCAGTATGGTATTTTTGTACTAAACAGTGATGATAATACACTCATGTATGGAGAGTTTTACTGTTGAATTTAACTAAGAAAACGGTCTCACTCTTATGTTCAGGATTGTGGATTTCATTGTGGACGTGGAAACAAAAGTTTATAAAATAATATCATGACTCTTGAGATGAACTCCATGGGCAATGTACATTTTTTTCTTCAAAAGTGCAAATTTTTCAATCGACAAATTTGAAAACTATTTCTTTAGAACTGGTAGACGCAAAAATGATTCCTATTTCCTAGTTGAAGGATTTGGAAATTTCTTTTATGTAATTGAAATTCTCCCAAAACATTTTTCAGAAAAACAAATTACCATATTATTCATTATTTATGTATCCAAACCACTTAGAATTTTGCCAAAACTCTTGTCAGTGCTCATATTCATTTTACCAAAATTGAATTTCTTCGTTTCACAGTTACAGAATTAAGCATGTTCAGTATTTTGTCACATTAGCAGAATTTTACTACTATAGAAGGTGTCATATTATGATAATGTTACCAGAAAACTGTAATATCACATTTTTTGGTTCAAAAGTTCAACTGAGGATATGGTCCTGGATAAAAAGAGCATTTGATTCGATCTGCAACAGCAGAAAAATGTATTCAAAATAGTCGTAAATGTTATCGAAAATGAATTTCTTGACGTCATCAATATTGATATTATATGATGTTTCGATTCTTCTACTGATGAATTTCTGAATGTAATTAGAGGTAATAATTGTTTGACAGTGATTTCAACGATAAATCTTTATCACAATATTCACAAACCATTAGAGTCCATGTATGGTGATCTCTAAACAGTTTTCATTTGTTGTCAGTTTACATTCATAATGCGTTTACGTCAGGACATTTTGTGAGAAATTAATTTTTTCCTTCTCAAACTTCTGAATTTCTTGAAATAGGTAAAACTGAAACCGATATGTAAACTACTTTTCATTCGAAAGTTGTGACGATTTTGTATTAGATGACTGTATATGTAGGCATAATAATGAGAAAAGCTGAAGAACGTTTGAATGTGTGACATCAATGAAAGCTTTTCTATAGAAATAATATGAGCCAACTGGAAGCTCCTTCCTAGTTATGAACCTTCTCGTCCATTTGATACATAGTGTGACACCACCTATTATTAATATGAATTCGAAATATTAATGGAGTTCAAATATATAGACTGAAACATTGTGTGCTATCGAAACATGAATATTGGGGTTTATTATATTTGGATATATGAACCTAACAAAACTATCATGTAGGCTCCATTTTGGAATAAAATTTAAAATGTTTCCATCACAAAGTTAAACTGCAGTTTCAGTTCACATTTTTTCCATAATTTCTTCATGTTAGATTGTTGAAAATAACTGGTTAACTGTTTTTAGAGAATGATGGAAACCATAAGGAAGCTTGCTCAATAATTTCTGGTTTTCCAGAAAAAACTGTAATCAATTATGTTTTGATTATGTTTTCTGGAGTTCGACCGAAATCAGAGTAGTGAAAAGTTATGTTTGTGAAAATGATAGTGAAACAGAATTTGATCGATGAAAGTTATCACAAAGTATCATGAAAAAATTGAGAACAGATCGAACATCGAACATCTCTTCCTCTTGAGTTGAAACTGAATGGTCAATATTTTTGAATTATTTTCTAGGAAGACACAATGGCAACTATGAACATCAGATAGAATTCTTTGAAAACATTCTGAAAAATATTCAAAACACATAATATTCGATGTTACAGAACCAGTATTATAGCAGTCTTGCACAAACACAGGTAGGTCTCCTATGAGTAAGAGTAATTTCGTCCTCTCTTGCCCTTAGTTAGGACTGGCAAAGATTTCTCAACTCCTCTGGAAGCACAACTTCCTGACGAGCTTCCACTATCTCTTATGTTTCCACGAAATATTGCCTTTGATCCTACGTAAACGCCATATCCCTGCCGTTTCATTCGCTTGTCTAAAGTTTTTCTACCGTCTTTGGAGGGTGGAAAACTCTTGTAACTGAAAAATATATAATCATCAATCAGTAGAAACTGAAATGTTTTCTTTCATATGCAGAAATAACTACTGGTCTCTACACATCAAGTGTGTTTTCAAAGGGAAGAAGTTTTGACTCAAATCATCTGAAGGACCACTTCGTTCAGGTCACTCTCAACCGACATCTATAAAAAAAAAAAACAACTATTCCCCTGGCTAATACTGGGCATCCCCTTTCTTCGGATGATATTTTGTATCGAATGGTAACACCGTCTAAACTGACTTGCGGAGATTTACCATATTTTATTTTGTGCTTGAATTGTTTATGACTTATAATCAGCGAGAATCACTTTTATCACATATTCATTAAGTTCAATATTGTTTATTACGTCCCTTTGAGAAAGTATGTGATACTTTGACAATTCAAAGAAAGTTTTATTCGTGAATCTTCAGTTGTTCAGTTCACAATGTTTCTTAACTGTGATTTTTGTGCAAATGAGTACGTGTAGTGGTTATAAAATTATTGGATAACTTGGTGAAAATTTTATTTTCCCCTACGTGTACTTACATTCAACTGTGTGAGTATTAAATATTTTATTTATGTAATTGAATGTTGGAATGTCTGATATGTTGTTCAAGCTTTAATTTATTAAAATCCGGCCATGTACGGGTTCTATACAATCGCATACCCAGGGTTCCGCACAAATAATTCAGCAATTTCAAAAAAAAGTGTACCCTTGGTTTTCGCCTTGTCTTTCTCCTTCTGTTGATTTATTTCTTGGGTATTGAATTACTTGAAGCATAATATAATTAATTCAAGTCAAATTAAACTATCTTAAATACATTTATAAATTATCGTTATGATGTAACTTAACTAAATATAACACTTACGAAAATGTTAAAACATTAAAAACCATTGAATTTACCTGTCCCCTTCCCAACTAGTGTCAGAAAAACTATGATTTTCAAAAAAAAATAGTTTATTGGGAATGGTTTATGAATTCATTTGAATTCATAAAAGTCGAGTTTGTCAGTTAAAAGTATCAGTATTATTATTTTATATTGAATTCATGTCGAATAAATACTATATACTGTTATAAATGGTTGAAGTAAGAGTTTTTGTATTATTAAACGTGATTGTAAAAAAAACTTATCTAACTTATAATCTAACTTATATAATGCAAAATAATGATAACTATTCTTGCCAAAAAGTTCTCTAGAACTATATTGAGTTATATTATATGTATAGTACATGTTAAATTGGAATATCTAATTAAGAGGGCGGCGAAATCTTCAAGTATGCCCACTAACTATATGTGAAAAGTTTCAACTCGAAAATCATTGCAAAGCCTTCAACCCTTCAGGGAGATAGTAAGGTGTGACCTGTAAAGAATACTGTGGCGACACTTTATCAAAATCAACCAATTGATTCCAACTTCTCAACGAAACTGAGTGAATTATTTGGTGAGTGATCCACGCTAAAAATCTGATCCAGTATGCGAAGAGACGGCAAAGAAAATGTGCTGTGTTACCAGCCCCTAAAATTTCCTTCAAAGAATATTTCACTTCAAGATTTGCAGATCTTGGTCCGTTTATCCGAATAGTGGTGACCTGGTCGACGCCCAGTCTGCGACTAGATTTGTCAGTTGAGTAAACAACGAAAATGTGTGACCCCGGAGGTAGAACTTCAGTGGTCCAGGTGACACCATTACATAGTTGTAGGGTGTTCATTTCTCCCATCATTCAAAAGGCGATCTGCAGTTCTTCTTAGATAACATCTAACTATCCAGATCAAAATGTGCAGTTATGCACAACCAATCATCTTCAGCAGCCATAATGGCATATTGGCGAGATACCAGTTAATTGGTCGATATGGAGGTTGTTGGACGTTCAGGGTATATGATTACCACCTTACTGATCGCAACAAAATCTCCATACGTGGGAAACTGACGATATATTAGATTCAACTGAGGTGCTTTTTCTGCCACTGTTTTGGGTGCATTAAGATTAATGTGCTTTTCTGCTTGAAGCAGATTCTGCTCATGCTCAAAAAGTTGGCGCAAGGGAAATTCAATAGATATACCTCTTCTGAGGAGACGACTGGGTCACTCCACACATTTTTCTCAACAGGATCAGGAATTATGAAGTTCACCTGAAACTGAAAGTTTCAGTTGATACGTCAAGAAGAGTACTTCGAGCCCGCCACTGAAGATGACTGGCGCAGTTGCAGTTTGAACATTTGAATATTGTAACCAAAGAAAACCACGGCAAAACCCAGAAACCAACCAGAAAGGGACACTAATTATCTCACTTTTTTTGAATTCTTGTGATTCTTTCAATATTTTTCATTTCCAGAATAAACTCTTCAGAAAAATGTGTAGATTACGCCAAGAAGTGACTTTCAGACACAGTGGAAAACAGAGCCCTCTCGAAATAACAACTTCCATTTAAACCTTGAATAACACGAAAGAAAAATACTCTCGAATCAATTACATTGATATAAACATTGATCATACAAAAAAAAAATCCATTCGTTATGGTATTGAATCAGATATCATTCAAAGGATTGCTACACAATATAGTATATGAAAGAGGTGAGATTTCAGTTCCATGGAACACTATCATCCTCAATGGCGGACCTCCGATATTTCAGAATAAGACACTTCTCTTAATGCCTCTTCAGCACCAGCCTGGGTAACATTACAAAATGAAGAAACTCATCAGTTCATAACATTACGACTTCATCCCACGAATGAGTTAAATCTACTCGTGTTGTTGCTCGTTTAAATTGAACGGAATATATTTTTTGGAGCCATCAATTCAGAAATTTTTGGGACTAGTTTTGGCGTTCTATTTCTTGATCTTCATACAACAAAAACTTCCACATTTTTCCGTATGAAGATGGAGAAGTAAAAAGCCAAAACCTTTCTTTCCCAAAATTCAATCTCTCATTAAAATGTATTCCTACAAATTCATCATTGTTCAACTTTTATACTCGGATCTTCGTTTTTTTTACACGAAACAGAAAGAAAAACATGGCTGATAATAACGCATGAGCGTAGAGAAAATTGTGATGAGAAGGCCTATTTTCGATTTGTTAATGAAGTATTTATTGCATTTCTAATTCAAGAATATCACAATAGTAGCACGGAAAATTACTTACAATAAGTGGCGCTTTATAATTGTGAAGGTGCTAGGACCTCTAGCAGCCCTTCTTTTTTGAAATTCCAGAAATGCGTCTTCCTCTGCTAAAAATTTAGAGTTTTTTCTACTAGAAGAAAATATATATCGTTTCGTTCTACCCGAAGTTGAGGCATTGGGATTATCTATAGATTCATCGTCAATAGGAAGCTGAAGTTTTGGTGGAATCATATTCAATATGGTTTCAATCTCGTCGGTTGAAATAAGCGTTCTTGATGGTCCCTGTATTGATGATCGTGCTGATGATAATACTGATGTCGATACTGATGGTTGTACTGATGGTGGTAATGATTGTGGTAGTGATGGTGGTAGTGATTGTGGTTGTGATGGTGGTAGTGATGGTGGTACTGATGGTGGTAGTGATGGTGGTACTGATGATGGTATTGATAGCGATGAAGTAACTGGTGGTAGAATTTCTTCTCGTTCCCCTTCAGAGGTATTTGCCTCACTGTCTGACCCTCTGCAGGTGTCCAGAGCACAACCCATGCTGAAAATGCATTTTGGTTTCAATGAGAAACATATATGTATATGACGAATATAAATGGCATTCCAAATTTTTGTTTTTCATTTTGTTCGAAATCACAAACCATTTCGAGTGGGGATTACAACCATTTCAATATTTAAAAAAATTGTAACATATATGGAAAATTCAGTTTTGAATAATTTTGAAAAAATCTTAAAGATTAATATAACATCAGATATATATCAAATCAAATCAAAAAATCTTTATTTCCGTAGACCTAGGGAAGGCATGGAAAAAGTCACATAACTCAGTACAATTACAATGAGGTCACAATCATAAAACAACATAATTATAAGACATATTATATAACATTTAGACCATAAAAGGGATACAAAAATTAAAATTTAAAATTCCAAATCAGACTGAAAAAATTCATCAAGCGAATAAAATACCTTTTCACATAATAGTTTCCGAACTTTTTGTTTAAAGANCGCACGCGCTGCCCCCTATCTCAAAAACAATTTAACGTATGAAAAAATTTTTGGAGAAAAAGTTGTAGAAAATTTAATTCTCTACAATATTGATATATATTACAATTAGCAAAAAACCCATTGGAAACGAGATATTGGCAAAAAACGTGCAAAAAGTCGTTTTTTTTTTGACTTTTGACTCCCAATTTTTGAAGTTGCGGCCGTCGAATCATATGTGAATTTTGAGAATACTTCTATGATGCCAAAATACGAAGTTTATACAAATTTACTAGTGGGTGTGTCAAGTTTCCGAAATACAGGCCTAAATCGACATAAAGTGACTTGGTTTAGTAAACTATCAACCAACATCCAAAAATATCGCGTTTGTCTGTGGGAGTATGCAGGAGAATCTGAGTCAGTCAATTTCGGGTGGCTCACAAAAACTCGGGATTTCGCAGATCACAACTTGTCGAGTTTTGCATCGTGACTTTGACCTATACAAAATTCAACTGACCCAGGAACTGGTTAAACAACAACGTGTGTTCGCTGAATGGACTTGGGAGCAGTTGGCAACTGACCTTAAATTTCTTGGAAAAATCATCTTCAGCGATGAGGTCCGTTTCTGGAAATGGATACGTGAACAAACAAAATTATCGAACTTGGGACGATACGAATTCAGATGAGATCCAAGAGCGTCCAAAGCACCCCGAAAAAGTCACTGTTTGGTGTTGATTTTGAGCTAGCGCCGTCGGTCCATATTTCTCTGAGAACGACGTCGACCAAATCATCACAGGTCGATGATTATCAATTTTTTTTTAGCCTGAATTGGATGATCTTGTCACCAACGACATGTGGTGTTGACAGGATAGTGCCACGTGCCACATTGATATACAATGTGGTACGTAGCGCAATGTGGCTCGTAAAAATTGCAAAAATTATAAACAATTTAGTAAAAAAAGGAGGGGTTTGGCTGGCAAATATCTCGGAAAATATTAAAAATGACCGAAATTTGAAAAACGATCTTCAAAGAGAAGATAATTTCCTAAAAAAAGATTCACCTCCCTTATGGCATCAAAAGATCTTTCGGACGAATGAAAAATTTTGATGATATCTCACACACACTTTGTTTTATCTAAATCGAAAAATATAAAGCGCCTAATGGAAGACCACATAGTTTATTCACGTAATACTCTACCGAAAGGTGGAACTGGAACTTCTGACGTAATATGAATCCAATGTTTCTTTCATCTCCTGAAGAAGCCAACTTGATTGGTGAAATGCGCATCAAAAAATGTATCGAATGTCTGGTGAAAGGAGAAATTTGCATGCTTTGAATGACCACTTCATTGTGAGGTTTCAACTGGAAAGTTCACAGAACCACAACCCGTGTTTCGCTTTATTATAGCTTTCTCAAGCGTTTCCATATTGAATCCTATAGTGTTCTCAGAATGTTTATAGAATGATAATTTGTTTCGATCTTCCACACTCCTATTGTTGGTCGGTAGCCAGGCGGTTTGAGTGGGTGCTTTGTTCACTCACCCGAATTGACTGCCGTATTGGTCGGTGGTTCAAGCCCTAGTCTGAACGATTGATTTTCACTTGCTATCGTCCAACCCGTGTTAGGAATCACACGTTGAAATGTAAGACCTCTTAATCCTTAACTCGCACAAGTTGTCGTTCGTAGGGGTGCGACAGCTTGTTAACGAAAAAAGAGATTTCAAACAGATTTATAAATTCACCACTTCAACATCATTGATGATGTTGGTGGTAACAAAGGACTGACTGACATTTTTTCCAGTAAATCAACTTAACCACTAAATACTCGTTAGGACAATAAGAGGATTGTTCAGAATTCTTGGGGTTCTTGTTGAATACTCTTCGTGAGCAAAAAATAACAGAATCAATACTCCTGACCGCTCTGTATCGAATATTTCCGTACAGTCTATTTCAACTTGTGTTTGTAAATCTTATGCTGGAAAATCATCACTTGTTCACTCTGTAGTAAATGTTCAAGAGGTAGCGAGAACGTAATTGAATTTCTGGAATTTCAACTAGCGTTTCCTGATATGACTAATAACCAGTCCGTGCAAAGCTCACTGTTTAATCATCTGAAAATGGAACTTTTAACAGGTGATGATCGACTGTATTACCAAACATGCGCCAAATGAACTGACTGTTATAAGAAAACAAGTATATCGGAGGCACCAGTCAATCTAATAATAACACTGATGATTTTTCAAACATGACTCAACCTCTAACGGAAGCACCAAACTCTTACGAAGATTCGAAATTGATGAACACTTCAATCTAGCAGACCACTGTTATAATCTTCATGCAGTCATTGTTCAGTGTGGTTCTGGTCATTATTACGCCTTGCCCAAAGATGAAACGGACTGGCTAAGTTTGACAATAGTCATGTCACTAAGTGTTCTGGCGATGTATTGAATCTATTGAAGCCTCTGGAGACACCCTACTTTTTGTTTTATAAAATTGTTTTTAAAAGATATTGGCAGATCAAGATCTTCAGATGATGTGGTGCTGCAGGTTTTTTCAGGTTTTCTTGCAGCTGAAAAAGCAAATGCGCTACTGGAATCAATGAAGTCGCCCCGGATTGTCGAGGTGTTGAAAAATAACGATTTGGTGTTGGGAAAAAACTCCAGTAATATTCATTACTACACCAAAGGTTCCAAACAGTGCATCGTAAGAAATTGGACATATTTATAATCGTAACACATGATGGGATCATTATATGTGATTCAATTTCAGAAAAAATAAAGAAGTACAATTTTTCTGAACTTCTGAAATCAATTTTTCTATAGTTAGTTAGTCCCTGATCTTGCCACAATGAAATAAACAAATGAACGTTTTCCAACTGAAGATAATGCTAACAAAATTGATAAATTAATCTTTCATGGGATGAAACTCCATTTCATGTTTTAGCTGAGGTTCGAGCTTATTTGAGAGTTATTCACAAAAGGCAACTTGACAGAAGCATAACGTCGGAATGATCAGCTCGTTCTCCTGACTTGACTCTGTTATCAGAAATTAGGCTCATATCCGAACAGAACATATAACTTTGAAGGTTCTGAAGACTGTATTTACCAGAAAATTGTGCGAATTATTCTGGATGCAATACAGGATAGTGTAAGGAAATTTTTGTATCAACTGTCACTGTTCAGAAACAACATGCAGTGAAAATATTATGTTTGTAAACTTTCGTTGAAATCAACAGCGGAGAAGCCACTGCAGCAGATTAGTTCATACCTTTCTGATAGAAAACAATGTAAGAACGTCATCTAACACGGATGTTGTAGGTAGAGATATATTGTGGAGTACTTCAAGGCTCTGTATTAGGTCCTATACTGTTTCTGTTATATTTAATGATTTAACCAACATATCGAGTACAAGAAGCTTCACCTCATTTGCTTACTACATCGCATTATTGTGGCATGTCAAGGATAAAAATAGACATGAAAAAGTGAAGAATTGGTTTGACTCGAATATTTTATCATTGAATACCAGCAAAACAAAAATATTAGCATTCAAGGGTAATATACCTGATATCACCCTAGACAATAATACAATAAAAAATAACTACCATTTGAAATTTTTGGGAATTTATTTAGATGAAAATTTAAAATTTTCTCAGCATATTGCACACATCAACAAAAAATTGGCATCAAGATGTTTCGCACTGAGAAACATTTGAAAGGAACTTGGGTTTGATTTTTTCGAGAACATATAATCCTTACGGTTTATTTGATATTTATATTGGACACCATATCGATTATACATAAACATAGGGAGAACTATGAATCTACAGTTACAGCTACATACCACACAAGGCGGTCAAATGAACTGAATGTACCTATTCCAAAAACATGTTTGGTTCAAAACTCGTTGCTATAAAATGGAATCAGGATATACAATAAACTTACCAATGAAATCAAAGAGACTTCTTTTATCATATTCAGAAAGAAATGTATAACACTATTAAGTGATGAAGCCTGTTATGACCTTCAAGAATATTTTGATAACTTATACAATACACTAAAATGTCCGTATAGGACGAAGCTGCAGTAACATTAGTTACAAATAAAAGTGGTAAAAAACATAGAAAATTTCATTATGATTTCCTACCACGTAGTAACGGTTACATCCATCAATTATTCGTTGAAACTGAAGAGTTTTCAAAATGTTTTCATTATGGATTGTATGAATTAGACCTCACTCAGATATTTTATGATATGAATGGATTGAAAATATAGTTGAACTGTAGGTTTCGTTAATCAGCTGGCAACCCTCAAAGGCATAATCTTGAACAAACTAGAAATTGACGAGGTATCCTGTTTCTTTTTCTTTGAAAGAGTTACAGAAAAATGCTGATGATGAGTTTGAGACGTGTGTTTGTCCGAAACTTCTGGAAGTCTATCTACAGAATGGATTTTTTTTGAGTACAGTTTCATGTATTGAGTTTTACTCAAATATATGGTTTCGCGAGTATCACTGCCCATTATATGAATTGGACAAACTTCAGAACAAATTTTTAAGATA